TAAATAAGGATCCTAAAGGATGAGAAAACATACACTATATTATATGAAAACTGCCCTGACTGTAAGGGTATTGAAGAATCCTAGTGATATCTCCCAGACTGGGTGTATTTCAAAATGGGTCTGCTGCCTAATCAGTTAAGAATGGTTTAATGACAGTTGATTTTGCCTTCGAGCCAGGGAATGGCCTGAATGGCCTCCTCAGATACCTTCTAGATCTTCCTTCTGTGACCCTATAAGCTTCCTCTAGGCAAAAAACAAATAAAGAGAGAATAAGGGAAACAAAACCAACTAAGAATAAAAGTGTTTGAAGTGTCTGACAATAAAACACATCCTAGCAACATTTTGACAGTATCGCTAGGTAGCTGTGGTACAATTGTTAATTATAAAAAAGCATTAAAAATTGTTGAATATTTGTGAGGGAGGAGGATTACATATTATGTAAACTTTCTTGTATACCAGTTACTGTGGCAGATGCTAAACAAAATGACTGGAGATAAACATAAGAACACCTGGACAATTACAGAGTCCTCAAAAAGTTGAGGGAGGAGGGCTCCAGTATGCCAATGTAAATTTTTAACAGATCTTAGACTGTGTGTGTACAAACTGAAACAGTATTAATGTAAAAAGGTCATTATTTTAAAAGGATAAATAGTTAAGGATAAATGTTACAGTGTGCATGATATCAATCCCAAATAAACGGAAAAGTTGACAGATACTTAACCGATATATGTTTAAAAGAAAGATAAATAATAACATAAGTCAGTATTTTGTGTAAGAATGGGTTTTAGCAACTAAAACTTCTTAAAATTCCTGGTTAAATTAAATGGATAATGGAAAATGCTTAGATTTTGATAAGGCACTTAAATCAGTAGTACAACATCCTGACTGAAAAAACAAAAACTGTAATAGTTCAGTAAAGCATACATAAAGAATCATCACTTAGTTGGTCAATTCATAGGTCTATTTTCTATCAACTCTAAGAACACAAAACATACACGGTGTTATCCAACATCATCGTTTGTGAATTGGAACTAAGAAAAAATTTCTTGCTTATGGAATAGTATTCAAATTACAAAAAGACCATCTGAGTAAAAATAAGGAGGAAGGTAAATTAACTACAGTGGATCACCTAATAACCTGGATCCATTCAAATGAAATGGCACAAAGATAGCCAAGCACAAACATACATATCTATGTGGGGAGAAAAGAAAAAAAAAAAAAAAAAAGGTCAAAGTTTCAGAATGGTGCACTGCAATTTGGAAGGTTGCATGACTATAAAGGTTTTACAGCTCCTACTAGACAAGCAGCTCAGCTTCAGTTTCTCTTACAACATTGTAGCCCAAAGGCCTAACACACTTCTTGGCTACGTGAACAGAGCAGCTGTGATTAGCAGTAGGAAAGTAATTTTTAATTTGGAAATCTGTAATAATGCCTAATAATGAGAGTAACCTCCACTGAGAAGTCTGCAAAACTAATACTTATGATAATTAGTAACAAACGTAAAACCAATTTTTTTCAAGGAATTAGTATATTAACTATTGTATTTTTTCCTGAAATATATCAAAAGATAAACAGGTGAAAAAGCACCTATAGGTAAAGACTCTACCATTGTTATGAACTTTCTCAATTTAAGAAAATAAAGAAAAATTTGAAGCTAAAGCAACATGAAAGCCTGTTTATTTTTGTAGTGACACTGACTTGGAAATTTACAAGTAAAATTAATTATCGACATGTACTTTTTGCTGTTTCAATTTTTAACTTACTTGAATTCATAATTCACGTTCATAATTTGATTTTACACATTTATACTCCACCCTAGCCCATCAGTGTTAGTTCATTATTTGATGGGCTCAGCTCAAAAATAAAATTGCATGATCATTCTAGTAATACAAGAACCAGTGGATACCTGATGGTGAAACAGCAGGTTTAAAACACGCCAAAAGAAATAAATTTTCACAGAATCTGTAAGAGGAATGTGTGACACATTAGCACTGGAAGTTATAAAGAAATAAAAAGGGTAAGAAGGTTTAAAGTGGATTCATGGAGGGCACTTCCATTTGTGGCAGTTAATGTGGTACAGATACATTGTGAAATGTATAGACTCAAGAAATCTTTAGACACTCTGCTTCTGGAAACTCATATGATATATCCACAGAAAAGTCATGTCTTGGCTGCCAAAAGTTTGTAATTTTTCCCTAAACACCTGTTACTGGCCACTGCTGGGAGACAAGACAGTGGGTTAGACAGACCTTTGCTCTAATGTGCAATGGTCCTTGTTCACCTTTAACATGGATGCTCAAGTTGAACCCACTGCAGGCCTTAATGTGAAGGCACTAGCTGGGCATCACATTGAGATAGGGATCCTAACATTTAGCAGAACATGTAGGGTGCTTGAAATAATGAAGTGCCCGACAGGACTGTTTGCCAATCAAATGGAGAATTCACAGCTTTTCTGATCTGGGAAAAAATGCATCCATTGCCGCTAAAATGTAAACCAGACAAGTTGATGATACCGTTACAGTGGAACAAAATTTACTTACATCAGTATTACAGGAGCGATACCGCTTCCTTTCTCCAAGACAGTATTTGCCTCCACCTGAAGGGCTGGAAAAACATGTTTTATGTGTTAGTATATGTATTTGTACAAACACAAGTTCATGAGATGTACTAATGTATTACTAGGATAAACACAAGTCCAAGAGGTATACATTATATAAATAAAACTAAAAGTACATGGAAGTTTTAAGGTGAGAATTTAAAATATTTTATTTAATAAGAATTGTAGCATTGACTTGAATTGGAGCAGATACAAAAAACCAATAATGGCTACTTGAAAATAGTCACTCATATAGTATTTGTCTAGTTTGCATAGATCTCGAGCAATACAATTTAATTTTATTTTGAACATACTAAAAAGGCATTGTTTTCAATTATTTGCCTGCTTTGAAAAACTGGAATGAGAAATGTGTAAACAACCTATGTGATACTGTTTTTAAAATCTTCTCATATTACACTTGAAATACAACAAAATTAAGAAATACTGCTTGCTAAATCCTGGAGCCACCAAAGACTGAATTTTCTAGTTCAAGAACCTGATTCTGATTTGAATTGAGCAGTATTAAATCTGAGGAAACTCCAGAGTAAGCAGGTTTCTATTAGTGTAAGACATTGGCTCTTAAATTCCCAAACTGTTCAAAAACCTTATCTATCTTCCACAGAGGTCAAATAATGAATTAATACTGACTTAAATGGAAGGTTAATCAGGTATAAGTTCTTTGGTTCATAACTTGAAAGCAAAAAAGAGAAAACATTTGGTGTTGGTTTTATAATAAAGAAATAAAATAATTAACAATTAACTAAAAAGAAAATCAATACTATTTTCCACACTGCAGATATTTAATCAGACAACACTAACCTTGAACCAAAACAAATTTTTTTCTAATGCACACATACCCCTTCCCAAAATACACTTCCTTACTGTACAGTTAAGTATTTAAAATTTAATCACCTTTCAACATACCAACCAATATATGTGGTGTTAGGAGTAGGTTAAAAAATCTTAGGAAATTACTCATGCTCCAAACAGACATGTCACTAGCATTTTTACCTACCACTGTGAAAAAAAAAATCAATTTATTCTCTCAGTAACACAGTCTGACATGTTATTGATGCATATGGAGAATTTTTGCTTTTAAACCCATTCAGTAAGTAGTACTATTTGCCAGATTTGATAGTTATTGCTAATGATAGGAGGTGAACAGATCACCTTGAGCAGCTGTAATGTGACATTATGGCATCTGTCCTGCGGTGCACAGTGGAAAACTGATGTACAGCCTGACTTGCAAAACATGGGTATAAGCAACAAAGAACCTACATATACAGAGAGGACAAGATAAGACAGGAGTGACAAAAGTCACAGAATGGATTTTCATGAAAGAAGCACAAAAGCTTAATGTTTTCAAGAAAAAGTGGTCTTAAAAACTAACAATGGTGATGGAAACAGCGATTATGGGACATGATGAGAACAAAGTACAGAGTAATAAAACTATTCTTTTGTAGTGACCTACAGCTGTGATGAGGTAACCAGAACAGGACAAGCAGCAAGAGAAAAAAGAGATTCATTCAGCAAAGAACGGCACTGGAAATAAATAAGCACTCCTCATCTGAGAAGTACTAGTGACAGAGAGAGGAGCACTTACCTGACAGACCTGTGGAACAGTGCTCCAGACATTGTAACGCAGACAGGTGACAGGACCAGTACAGCTATACACAAGAGATCACGCTGTAGCGGAGAAGCCAGCCCCTCATGAGAGAGAGCAGATGGACCAATAGGGGAGTGGTGGCAAGGAGAGAAGTTGATGAATTGCTTTAAGAGTCAATGTGAAGTCACAACTAAATGTTGGACATGACAGCATGTGAATGTATTGTATGCAACAGAGTATTACTAACTATGGTTTAGATGTAAGCAGTTGTATGCAAAAGCTTGGAAATACTGTGTTGGGGTTTTTTTAGTATGTAACTGTCAATAGTTGTTTTATACCCTAGACAAGCATTAGAGGTAGTATGTCCTAAGCAAGAAGTCTATCAAAGGCATAATTTAAATATATTTTGCATGAACAGCAAGTTGCAGAAAGAAAACCATTCTGGTTACTGCTAAATATAAATCCAGTTATCTTTAAAGTATATAAGATACATTAAAAATGTTAAAAGTATGTCTAGTGAACTTCTCCTGTTTAAGTGTTTCTGTCTGCTATTTTGAAGACAAATGTTGGCAAACTAGCAAAAAATTTTTACAGATAACACGTGAAACCACAGTTTTGAGTAATTTCCAAATGTGTCTTTTTGTTGGCTTCGGCTTACTTTAGCTACTTACGCTGGACTGTCACAGTGTCTTATAGATGAGGAGACTCCTCCTCCGCAGGTCCTGCTGCACTCTCCCCATATTGACCATGGACCCCAATCCCCATCTATGCTCTGGGGCCAAGTGCCAAAAGGTACGCACTCTCCCTGATAACACCACTGAAAGATTTAACAAAAAAACCCACAAAATTAGCTTCCAGGCTGACAGAGTTATCAGGACAGAAAAAAATAAAGGTCAGGCAATGACCAATTATAGGCATTAACATTCTCTGTAAAGATAGCAAGACTAATATTTTACTTTTTCTAGCCATGTTTAGACATTGGTGAGGGTGTGTGTGATTTGTTAATTGTCTTCACTAAGTCCTGAATTACAGGTCCCTAACACACACTAGAATTTAAAGCAAGCTTAAAATAAAGATCTTTTTCTTTCTTCATACAGCCTCCTTAATGTTTCATATTAAAGCTGCTTACATTCTTTTCAACACTAAGATTCATTTCTAAGATTAGTTTAGTAAAGCACTCTCCACTTAGGATTCATGTAAGGGCTTCATTATGCAGAATTAAAAATTTCCCCCAATAGTATTTTTAAGAAAGTATTCCCTTACATTTTAAAAAAGGAAATCGGGACAAGGTTACAATGGAAGACGAATTTGTTGCAGTACTTCATTTATACTAACCCTACAGACATAATAAAAGTGGTGCCAAAGCATTAGACATGGTAGGGAAAATGATTGTATCACAGTGACTGGCCACTTGCTCAGGGACAGAATGAACATGCATACTTCCACTCATGCAAGCACTTAAACTTTGCAATATTGTTACATACATCGGACATACAAAATAACATACAATTTGCACAAAGGGCTAATTGCTAAAGTAAATTTATTGTTTCCTTAGTCAGAAACCTTTTTTAAACCATTCAGAAATAATCCTGGAGTCCATAGTTTGATCCATACTCTGGTGTCTACTGCATCACTGAGAATCTTGTATAGCTCAGTTAAATACCCTTTTCCACCATTATAGGCTTAGGTGACAGCGTAGAGCACAGCCTTAGGTTCAGTGACCTGAATCTGCACACTAAAAACCTTCAGGTAGAAATCTACTGTGGAAAATTTCAACCCAAAGAGTTTAAAGTTAGGTAAGTTTATATAAGCAACTGAAATAAGGTTTTAAAATAGAGTGTTAGGCCATCTTCATTGTAGAAATCCCTCACAACTCTGCCAATAAGATATTAATGCACATTGCATCAAATTTTGCTTTGAGTTCATAGTTACACCTAACTTACATTACTGTAACTAAAAGCAGAAACTGATCATCCAAATATGATGAACTACTCTGAGATCTTGTTAGGCCTTTAGAGCAGGTAACATTTATTATATACTTGACAGAGCCCAGCAAAATAGGGCCTAACTTGGTTGTGGCCTTTAGGCGTGACTGCAGTACAGATGTAATAATAATAACAACAACAACAACAACAAAAAATAACAGTAATAATAATGTGTTATAGACTTGTGATCTATTATTTTCTCCTTAGTGTATGGTAAAAAGAACTACATATTTGGAAAGAGCTCATGTTTCCTGTTTTTTTTGCTATCAGGAACTAATTATTTACAGGAACCTTCAAAGCTGCAGTTTACAGATACAGTTCTCTGTTGTTAATAGGCATGAATAGTCTACTTTTGTAAAATAGGATGGAGTCTCTCATTTCTTTCTGAAATCTAATGATGGAACAAGATACTGATGACTGGAAAAAGGTGTTTTGTAGAGAGCAAATGGATTAAAGCTTCTGGCAAGCTGACACAGCAACAATGTCTTAAAGGATCTCAACTCCTTCACTGTAGTCTCACAGTTTCAAAAAATATAAACTGAAGTAAATTGCTCCTTGCAATTTACAAGGAGTGGGGGCTCCAAAATAAACCTAGGCTGCTGATTTAAAGGAAGAACTTCTAACATTTTCTATTACACTAATAAAAGGTAACATTTTTGGTAGAATGCAAAGGTCTCTCCATTTTCATTGTCTTATTATAAGCACTCTATTTTTTCAAATGACCACTTCAATGAATTTATTTAACATGGTTTACCAATATTTCCAAACTCAGCATGGAAAAGCCATCAGAATGATGCTAGGTCATGGGCCCTGAATGAAGCTGTCAACAAGCATTAATAAACTGTGACAGCTGCCCAAAAGCTTTCATTCTTTTTGTTTAAACATCAGTTTGCAAGTCAAAATGCAATGTAATCTTTGTTGAAACTAGCTCAGCTAGCATGGCAAAAGTCAGATGAGAATAGATGTCAGTAGTTGTTGTTAGGGAAAAATCCAGTCTGGAGCAGTAAATCTTATGGACAGACACAGCAACTCTCAGACAGACAGTAGCAATTGTTTAATATAATAAGCCCTCTTCACTTTGTACAGACTTGCATAAAATATGTTATCTTGAAAAAAGGCTTATGGAATTAAATTTTTTCCCCAGTACATATCCTGTAAATTAATAATTTAAGTATTTTTCTTTGTTCTTTAAGACCTGTATAGCTTTCGCCTTCTAATTGAGAAACACTCATTTACTATTAATCTAAAACTAAGTTTCAGATCTTTCTTAAAACTACAGATATGCAGACATTGTTTTAAAATCAAAGTTCCCATGTTAAGATAGATAAATAGCACTAGCCTTATCTACTGCAACACTGACTTTCTGTACTTTCTGTTAGGTAGAGTTTAACAGACTGCACGGCAAAATCCTTTAAAGCTAAATGGTTATGCAAATATGACTGAATACTAGAAGAGTAACTCAAATTCGAAACAGAAAGGTCACTGGGAAACATGGGCTTTTAGAAAACACTTTTATTAAGGCAACAATTTTTCTATATGCTTGTATGATTCAGCTTGTATCTAAACTAATAAAGATTTTTTTTCCTTCTAACAAAATAACAGAGTTCAGGCTCTAGATCTACGTCACACATTTTCAAAGTCCATGTCAGACCAAAACTTGTAACAGTTCTTTAGTGAAGAGTGCTATAAAATTTAACACAGATTAAACTAAAGAGGTTTTTTTAAAAAAATTACTCAAAAAATATACAGAGAGTATGTAACAGGGTTGGTTTTTTGTTGTTTGTTTGGTTGGGTTTTTTTATCCAGGCTGTAGAATTTTATAGCAAGGCTAAATGTTTTATGAAATTATATATATAAAATAATTGTGAAATAGTTCTGTAGGATACTTCCAGAAGGATGCAGATGTATTCTTAAATAATAGCTCTTTTTTTGAACTCTTGTAGTTCCTCATAAGTACTTTAATTTTCTACTTCCTTCTTCCTGTAGCCTTTAAACAATAAAATGGTTCTTCAAACAGTAAATTATTTGTACTCACCCCCTTTTCAATGCTCCCTGTTTGGCAAAGAGTACCTTCAGCTGCTGGAATGCTGTTGGTAACACAGCGGTTACTTTTGCTGAGGCACCAGAGCTCTCTACACACTTCCTAGGAAAGAAGGCAGAGGCAAGTTGATCAGAACAAATGCCTAAAATTGCTTCCAGTCCACATACACACATATACACAAATTTGTTTTGAACAGAGACTATTAAGAACTGCGTGGGAGAGACAAATCTATAGATGGTTGTGAAATATTCTGGAGCAATTTCAAAGCCACTGTATTTTACCTAAGAATATTCCACAAAAAAAAAATCTGCAAGTATCCAATTGTAGACTACAAGAATGTGTTTTTTTCACACCTGCCATGCAAGTAATGTTTTATAGTTGCTTTTTTCTTGATTAGTGCTAATTCTGGGCCTAGTCTATTTCAGTGTTGCTGTAGAAGTAGTCTTTAGACGTGCTGTAGTATCTCCATCACTGTCATTATATGTCTCAAAATTACATGGTAAAAGGATATTCATACTATTAATTAATAATCTGTCTAATTAATACTATTAATTTTGAAATATGAAACAGCAACAATAATTTTTGTTTACTTTAGTTAAAACCAATCTTTCAGAGCTCAGACTACTTGCACTCCTCTCCTGTAACACCTGCTAAAACAGTGCACATAAATTTAGTACTAACTGAGCTATGTACTAAAATATATTCTATAGACATTTTAGATTTATGACTGATAGTTCGTAAATTATTTAGCCTCACCTATTTTCCTATATTGCCACTGTTAAACAAACACAGGTTTTCAAATAATCTTTTTTCCTACCATATTTTCTCATTTGGTTTTGGACATCTACCCACCATTTAAATTAAGCCAGTTCTGTTGACATTTGAGATTCACTGTTACAACTATCTAAAGGTCGAAATTTATAATCTGGACATGATCCAAAGTTGTCTGAACACTGGAAATCTTCATAGTTGCTTTAGTTGCCCTTGGATTCAGCTATGTATTCAGAATAAAATCAGATGTGTTTTGCTTTTACAGAAATTACTTACAGGATAATTTTGGTTGTGTTATTTCGAGATCTGTGCAAGAGTTCACAACCTGCTTATAGATATTTTTTTAAGCATTTTTTAAAATTTGAAAGATAAAATCTTTCAAATGATCTTATGATAGTCATTACTATTTAATTTTATTTAACTGCTGCTTGAAACCATATCCTACAAATAATCCTTGTATAGATTCTATGGCTGAACTTTGGTACAAAGAGCAAAAAGGAAAAGACAGTACAAGTAAATTAAAATTCTGAGGTTCCCCACGAAGTTAACTGTTTCTCTGAGGAAATGAATGAGTATCTGGCACATACGCTATCTTTTCTATACATACCAACAGAATAACTGGTAAGTTTTACCCTGAAATTCATGTTTCTTGCATTTTACTGCATATACAAATGGATTTATTTATACATTAGCAGCTGCAGTAACAATTCAACAGTACAAGCTACTCTTGAATAACGCAAAATTCTTTTCCAAGTTTAAAATCAGGTGGTGCCGTTCTTGCAGGATTGTTAATACAGTGTCTTTAGTTTCATGACCAGTAGAAGTAAGATATCTTTTTAAAAAAACATTAAAAACATACCATATTATAATGGTCTGAAATTATGAGTACTGATGATTTCTGGAGTTTCCATCAATTTTTGACAATTAGGCCTAAACTACTTTGTCCTATTTGGTGGGTGGCTCTGTGAAAATTTAAGATAATTGTTATGCCTCTCTTCAGGAGAAATATTGCCACTTGTAAAACCATACCTGCAGCCAATGTAGAACTACCTTACTTTTCACAGTAGAATTTTTCTCTGATGAACTGCAAACAATATAAATATTTACTTACTAAAATCTCTGAATAAAACACTTGCTTTTACCACTCAGCTGATAAAATTTTCAGATTAAGATACACACTCACAAATAAATGTATTAAAATATCTAATATAACAAGGCAAGAACAGAAGACACAGTACAAAGATTCTTGAACAATCTAACTAGATTACAAATTTTACAGCCATTACAATGCTAAAATTGAACACCAGATCAAATTCACATCTAAATTTACCATGAATCCATCCAAACATCAATACTGTATGGATTTAAAAGTGAAAATCTAAAATTGGTTCCTTTCAGATACAGTATGAGGCGCTCCCGTCACAATCCTGCCTTATTTGCTCTACACTTAATTTACTTGCTCATTGTGGGGAGTAAAATTAGTGTAATTTACTTGCTCATGTTTCAAGTGTGGTTCACATTATCAAGACGTAATTAAAAGAGTCTGACTGTGACGATTCTACTTGTGACCTTCTGTCTATTTTGCATCTGATTAAGTTCAAATGTTTAAATTAATAACTGTGCTGACTTTGTAAATTTTGGATCAAATTAAAAAATTTCAAATTCAAAAAATCAAAAATTCAGTTGCACTAAGAAACAAAGTTTTCAAACACTCTACAGAAGCAAAAATCAGATCTGAGTAAGTCTGTATTTCAGGGTGATTTGAATCCAGAATTCTGGCTTGTGCTCCAGAGTTTACATGCAGAATTTCAATTTTTATATGCCTACACAAGTATACTATCTATATACTAACATATAAGGGGAAGTAAGCATTAAAACATGTATTTCATTGCTAGGCTAACATAGTCACAAATTAGAGTATTTAAGAATGTCCTTCCCACAGTATTCTTTCTGTATGCTCAGACTCCTTTGTGGCACTAGACTCCCCCAAATTCACTGAACTAACATCACCCAGGTATTTTAATTCCAAACAAATAATCAACCAAACTGTGTGAATTAATGGATACGGCACTCCAAAACTCTTTAAGTCATTCTTTTGCAGGATGATTCTAAGCATGTCAGTTCACCTCCCTACTCCACAAAATGAGAAAAATATTTTCCTACTTTCTAAATTGCTTTGGGAGAGAGAAGGAAAAGCACTATATCAAAACTAGATATTAATACTAACATAGTCTGGTAGTCCTTATTTAGACCTTAATGTAAGCATGAGTTTGCCTCAGTAAATCCCTAAAAACAAAATGAAAGTAATGTAAAATTACTATGGGCTGTATCATACTATTAATATTTGAGTAAAAACCACTGCTTAAATCAGAAAGAAGTTCTATTTGAGACCGACATAAAATAACCCAAAATCAACAGAGTATTTCCTTATGGAAAACTATGCAAAGCAGAGGATTTATTGACTAAAATAACACAATGTATCAATTTATACAAGTCATTTATATTAAAAACAAGAAATTCAAGTATTCTTGTAATTTTTTTTAAATATAGCCAAACTTATTTAAGAAGTTGTTTATTTTCTCCGCTGTTTTGCATTTAAAAGAAAGAGTAGAATCTGAAGTACATTCTCCATCTCCCTGCACATGAAATGAAAAACAACATCAACAGTCATTTGAAAACAAATAAGATATCTAAAAAGAAGTGGAAAATTCACCTGTGTTGTTATTTCATTAAATTAAAATTAAATTATATGAAGTACTACTATGACTATGTTTTCTTTATTTTCAGCTGATTTTGAAAAGTTAACAGAGAAATTCTAAGGTGCACAAAGCTTTCTGTTCTCCAGCTCAACCCTATACCTGGAACTACCTTAGTTTCACTGTTACTGATCTGAGCTATTTCCTCACTACCATCATCCTATCCATAACACCTCTAAGCAACTGTTTCTAATACGTCAGCCTTAAAAACATAGGAGGAACTGGCCTGGGAAGGTCAGGCCTAAAATCACTAGTAGAAAGTATACTGCTTTTTTTTTTTTACACACTAACTCAGCACACATGCATGCACACACACCCATCCACCCACACCCCTCCACCAACAGAAAGGTAACCCTTTAGGGTAGCCTTTTCTTCATTGGCGGACACAGGATGAAGCCAACATATTTTATGCCAACATTAAATTTGTCTGAATAATTTAATGAAACTAAGAGAAAGAAGCATAACCTGAAAATTAATCAATGACCTCAAAGTCAGTCTCCAAATACGTGGATTTAATAACTATTAATTTGTAAAGCAAACAAGGGAAAGTGTTTTATAAATCCAGGAAACTGAAGCTGAGGCCTTTCACAAGATCAAGACAAGATAGATGACAACCTGTAACGGTGTATCTTAGGGCTCCATGACTTCAGTTTGGAATTCGGATGCTTGTATTTGCAGTAAATTAAACAAAGCTGAACCCATCTAGAGAAAAAAAACAGCAAATCAAATTATCTTCCTTTTGCCTAAGCGTTATCAATGATGGAGCCTCTTTCTGTTGTGTCATGCAGAGTCACACATAGGCATTTCATATTATGTAACATCTAAGCATCCTATATCATAATCATCATAAATGGTAACAACACAGCACAATGAAAACTCAGTAATATGAGCAAAGATCAAATTGCTGTGCTGTTCTTATTATTTCCAACACTGACGAAAGCCTCCAACAAAAGTTAGCAGTTTGGCCCATAATATTAAAAAAAGAAGATGGAAAATACATTCACAAGACATATTAAACTATAATTTGGGAATTTCATTTTTGTTCATAAAATTTTAAAATGTTAATTAGGATTTTATGTTACTTCATCATGTTTAATCTGTAATATGCTGCACCTCTTGATGAGCATTTGCTAAAATACAGCATAAAATAATTAGCTTGAATTGTAATTTACAATTCAGACCTGAAAAGCATCAACCTAGAGTATTTTCAGCCTCGCTGCTGAAATACTGCTGGCAATATGATTAAAACTAGAAGATTATGATTATGGGTGAACTTCAGAAGGTTCAACGTTTAGTTCAGATAAGCACCCAAAAGTTACCAGTTTAGTGCTCCACTACCAAATGCTCATTAAGTGGTGCGGCATGTTATGAACCGCAACATGCTGAAAAAATGTGAAATAGAATCTAAAGCTTAAGTTACATATGTGTATTATGTTACCAGCATTCTTTCCTAAATATTGGGTGCTTATGTGAACCTTATGGAAACTACAAAAGCCCCACAACATCAACCATGTCCAAGTAGCATCCTCCCTTTCAAACCCATGCAACCTATCCCATCTTTATTCAAATCACACT